TTTTTCGGGGGCAGCCAGTGCCTGGCAGAGGCGTTAGGGCAGGGTGATGTGGCAGTAGGGCTTTGGTTTTGGCCCCGTGTGGCCCCTCTGGGAAGGCCGAACTGTTGGGGAGCTGCTTGGGGCTGCGCGTGGTGCAGGTTGTGTGTGGGCTACTGGTGGTGCCCACTGGGCTGGGGCCGTGCTCTGCCCCATGGCTGGGCAGGGCTGTGTGCTGGGGCAGGAGGGGGGTGGGAGGAGAGCTCGGTTTTCCTTCCTTTCCCTTCCTGCTGTCCCTGGGCCTTGGTTGCCGCAGACTGACTCTGTCTCTGTCTCTTCCTTTCTCTCCTGCTGCGCTCAGTGGAGGATCATGATGATGTGTTTGTTAAAAAGCCCAGGTAAGGGGAGTGTGCACCAGGGCGGCAGCAGGAGATACGGGGCTGCATGTCCTGGGCAGGACCCACTGGGCATTGCTGGCACTGAGCTGGGGATGCTGAGCGGCACCATGGTGTCCCAGGTGCAATGAGTCAGGTGTAGCTCGTGGCACTGGCAAAACCTTGCTGGGGGTTTGTGATGTTTGGGCAGCACCTGGAGCTGGAGCACAATGTCCCATGAGCCTGGCGTGGGGCTGTGGGGTGGCTGGGCAGAGCTGGGTGAGTGTTCCCGGCTTCTCCCTGTGTGGGGCAGGGAAGGGAGCTGGGGCTGGGGAACGCTGTTCCTTGCCCTGTGCAGCCGTGCTGGGGTGGTGCACAGTGCCCTTTTTTTTGCCTATGCCTCTCCATGATGCCTCGTGCCCTGGTGCCATGACTGTTGGGGCCCAGCTCTGTCTGTTTTGTTCTGCCGCAAATAAATGCTCCTGGGTTTGTAGCAGTCTCCTTCCTGTATTTGCCCTGGAGAGGCACAGAGCCACTGGCTCTCCCTCTGTCCCTGTCCCCTCACTGTGGCCCTGGCTTGTCCTGCCTGCTCCCAAGCCCAGTGCTGGCAGCCTGCTGGGGGGCACAGGCCGTGCCCCTCCCAGGACCAGCCTGGCCCTGCCTAGCCAGCAGGGATGGCACAGCCCTACCTGTCCCAAGCTCTGGCAGAGCTGGACCCCAGGGCTCCCTGTGCTGGGTCAGGTCAAAGCGCCTCTGTGCCCTGATGAGGCTGGGGGTGACCGTCGTGTGTGAGAGGGCGGCCAGGGTCTGGGTGGTCCCCAGGGTCCCTGGTCAGTCTGGAGCAGCCCAGAGCTGGGTGTGAGTTCCCAGCAGGCCTGTGCTCCCTCCCGCTGCTCCCCAGACCACCATGATGGGTGCCAGAGACCCCATGGGTGCTGTGTCTCTGCAGGGCTGAAGGTGCTTGGCTCAATACCCCATCGCCAAACTAGCTACTGTCTGGGCACGGGGGCTTGGCCGGCTCTTGCCTGCTTGTTGGGGTGGGGGGGGCCCTGCCTGCACATACAGGCCCACTGGGCAGAGGGGGCAAGCGGGGCAGGCTGGATTAACTGCTTGTTCTGTAGCCAGGTCTCCGTGCTGGACCCGTCCCCAGGAGCAGCGATGAAGACCGAACCAGGACTGGGTGAGCAAAACATTTCCTCTGGGCTTGGGGGGAGAGGGGCGGGGTGCTGGGGGATGCTGCTTGCCCAGACATGGGTGCTGGGAGGGGGCTGCTGAGGTATCAGGAGCACCATCCTGGAGACTTGCCTGTGTGTGCAGCCCCCAGGACCCCTGCTGCCACCCCTGGCCCTGCTAGCCGCCCGCCATGGGCCGTGGACCCCTCATTTGCTGAGCGCTACGCCCCAGACAAGACAAGCACGGTGGTGAGCAAGCACAGCCAGCCAGCCACGCCAACCCCCATGCAGAACCGCAGCTCCATCGTGCAGGCGGCGCAGCAGGCCCCCGAAGGGCCTGGCCGCACGCCCCTCTGCTACAAGTGCAACAAGGTCATCAGGTGAGCCCTGGCCACCACTGCCACTACGCCAGCGTCCTGAGCCCCAGCTTGGCTGACATGGCTCTGTCCCACTGCAGGGGACGCTACCTGGTGGCACTGGGACATTATTACCACCCCGAGGAGTTCACCTGCTGCCAGTGCAGGAAGGTGCTGGATGAGGGTGGCTTCTTCGAGGAGAAAGGCTCCATCTTCTGCCCCAAGTGCTATGACTCTCGCTACGCGCCCAGCTGCGCCAAGTGCAAGAAGAAGATCACTGGGGTGAGTATCCCTGAGCCTGCCCCACACCTCCTGTCCCTGCTCACCTACTGGTCCCCAGCTCTGGTCCTTCCCATCCTGATCCCATCCCCAGGGATCCCTTGTCCCTTTCTGCCCTGGGATGGGGTCCCTGGAAGTGGGTGGTCCTGCCCCTGGCTGACAGCAGTTCCCCTCCAGGAGGTCATGCATGCGCTGAAGATGACCTGGCACGTCCAATGCTTCACCTGTGCTGCCTGCAAAACTCCCATCCGCAACCGTGCCTTCTACATGGAGGAGGGACAGCCCTACTGCGAGAGAGGTAGGACCCAGGGACCCCATGTGCCATTCCACGTGGCCCCAGGGCACCAGGTACTGTCGGGGCTCAGCACCTGCCCATGGGGTGGGGGGTGAGCTGCCCTGTGCTGTGGGGCTCTCCCCAGGCCATGTGGAAGGCAGGGACACCCCTCCTGCGGCCCTGAGCCCTCCATCCCGGTCCTCCCTGCCTGCTGGGTAGCGCCATGGCTCCTGTGTTGCCATGGCGATGACAGAGGATGTACATCAAAGGCCAGTGCTGCATCCTGGGAGATGAGGTTTGCCTCCTCCCCGTGGCCCGGTGGCAGCCGGGGCCACCCTGCACAGCACAGACATCTTGCCCGGGCATCTGGGGCATCGTTCCCCTGGGGCTGGCAGTGAGTTGTCCCCAGGCTGTGCCTGTGGGATCTTGTCTGCTCCCCTGGGACGAGGTGCTGCAGTGCAGGGGAACACTCACCTGGGCTCTGCCTCTCCTCACAGACTATGAGAAGATGTTTGGCACCAAGTGCCGTGGCTGTGACTTCAAGATCGATGCTGGGGACCGGTTCCTGGAGGCACTGGGGTTCAGCTGGCACGACACTTGCTTCGTCTGTGCGGTGAGCCGTGTGCCTCCCTCCCCGGCTGCTGGTGGGGGCTGTGGCTCTCCCTGGCCATCATGCCCTGCATGGGCTACAGCAGCAGCGTGGTGTCCCTGCTGCCATAGGTTTTACCCACTGGACTTTGTGCTGGTGGCTTGGGCCCCTGCTCTGAGCCTGCTGCTCCCTGGCATCTGTGCGATGCTGGTGCTCAGCCCTGGGCTGGGAGGAGGGACCCTGGGGCTGGCTCAGCCTCCCTGACCTGGCCGCCTGCTCCCTCCTCCCCAGATCTGCCAGACCAACCTGGAAGGGAAGACATTCTACTCCAAGAAGGACAAGCCACTCTGCAAGAGCCACGCTTTCTCCCACGTGTGAAGGGCGGGATTTCAGCTGTGCCCACGCATGCCCCTGGCCCTGCATGCTCCTCTCCCCCCTGCTCCTGCCCCCAGGAAGCCAGGCTGGCCCACACCCCTTCCCCTTGCTCCTACCTCTTTCCTCGCAGCTCCTGGCCCAGCTCCAGCTGGAGGTGGCGCTGGGCCTGGAGCCCCTTATAGCTGGCTGGCTTTTTCTGTGCCCCCTGGCTGGCCCTAAGAGCCCCGGGAAGGGGACACTGCATGGGTCTCCTGCCCCCAAGCCATGCAGCGTGGTGGCCGCAGCCGTGCTGAGGCTGGGGTTGGGGGGGGGCCGGCACCGCAGGGCTGCTCCCCTG